GTCATCTATTGTCAAACAGGTGCAATCACTATGGGTTCACCTCTTGGCCCGCTATTGGAAGATTGTTTTCTGCCCAGTTTAGAAAACAACAGTTGAAAGCCAATAATTGAAGAGGTTTTGGTGTATAAAAAGTATATTGACGATATCGTCGTAATTTGTCGTGATGGCTGTGATCTAAACTGTTTTACAACTATTTAACAATTGCCATCCTTTAATTAAATTAACACTTAAAGTAAAAAGCGAATCAAAGATTCCATTTTTGGATGTAGAACTCACCAGACGAGATGACGGGACAATGAAAACGTCTATCTGCATGAAACCTGTATGGAGTGGTCAACTGATGAGTTTCTACAGTTGGGTACCTATAAATCGGAAAAGAACACTTACCGTGTCCCCTGATAGCTTAGAAAAACTCACATTTTACAAAAGGGTTGTGGCTGAAAACGCATATCCAGCACGATTTGTGGACAAAAACATAAGACACAAACTGCAAAAAAGAAATACCCATTTCAGTTCTAAAGAAGAAATTATGCATGAATCTTGACTTCGAAGGTGACCTCGTTGCTGATATCTTGAAAGGGAGAACTTCAAATTCGCTAAAGAAAGCTTTCTTCGTGTCAAGCTTGAGAACAGTATTCACTAGTCATCTTATGTTTCCTGACAACCCTGAAGATAAACTTCCGCATCTGATCACTTCCATGTGTTTATCATTTCACCTGCTCCTGTGGAGCCAAGTATGTTGGTCGTCCGATGCACACTCCAAACGGCTTAGAGAACCTTACCCCACTTGGTTGCAGAGGTGGGAATAGATCCATCAAAAGTGCAATGACTGAACAGTTTTTTAAAGCTGGTTACAGTAACACAACCGATTAAGTGTTCAAAGTCACCTACAAGGTGAAAAGAAATTTGCCTAAAAGCTCTTGCCATATGCATGAAGAAGCCGGGATTATGTGTACTACCCTGGACCTGGTAAACCGTTAACATTACACCGACCTCTATCTCTCTAACATTTTGTTGTATTTTATATATTTTAATAACTTAATATCTTCTTCATTTGGTTTCCATGGCATCCTTAGTCACGCTTTATCTTAAAAACTGTTTTTACTTATTATGCGACTTTAAATTCTATCCCGTAAATTGTGGTTTCTACGCGCTTTTGTTAATTATTTTCACTTTGCATCACACTTATGAATTCTTTATCTTCATTCAACTTGTTTTTTGTTACCAGCTTTAATTAAATAATTCTTGTAACGTAACTATCTAATATTACTATTTTTCTCTTGGGTTCCTAGTGAAACAAGAGCTTCAGTAGCACGTCTCCATTTCCACTCCGTTCTCTGCAGTCCTTCCAACCTGGCTCCACCACTGCCCACAAGTTCTTATTTCCTCCTCACACCATCTCCCCCATGTCACCCTCACCTCACACACCCAACTCGTCACTTCCCATCGGGGTTCCACTCGACGGCCTGGCGCGTGATGTCCGCGAATGGTCTTCTCAGTGTATGCCAAATCCATCTCTACTTCCTTCTACATATTTGTTGGGCGACGGATTCTTGGTTGGTTCGTTGCCAAAGTTCCTTGTCGCTTATTCTTTCTGTCCATCTGATCTTCAGCATCGAGCGTAGGCAGCTTTTGATGAATGTCTGTAGTTTGTTGGAAATGCTTTTCGTGACACGCCAAGTTTCTGAACCATATAGATGCACTGACTTGACATTAGTGTAGAAAATCCGGATGTTGTTCTTTATGCTGAGTGCAGTCGATCTCCATACCGATTTCAGGTTAGTGAACGCTTGTCTTACTTTTCCAATCCTGGCTTTGATATCCTCATCAGTGCCTGTGCCGCCTATAGTTGAAACGACGCTGCATAGGTAGGTGAAAGAGACTACTTCCCTCAGTTTTCTCCCGTTGATGCTTGTTGTTGTTGACCCATCTTCTCTACGTTCACTTGAAATGCCAACTTTGCAGCCTCTTCTGTCAACTTGTTGGTTTTTGCCTGTACATCTTGGAGTTTGTGCTACAAGACATTAGACACAAATCATCGGCGAAATCTAAATCTTCTAGGCGCTTTTCATCGGTCAAACAGCGTATGCCCATCTTCTCGCTCCTCACTGTTTGATGCATGATCCAGTCGACCATAATCAGGAAGATCATTGATGATAGTAGGCGGCAACCTTGTCTTACTCCTGACTTCACTACAAAGGAATCACTGAGCTTTCCATTGTGAATCACATGGCATGTAGCAACATCACATAGTATATAACTGTTGAATGAGGTTTATAAGTGTTTGTTGCCCCACAACTGTTGTGTTGAAGCAGCTATCTGTCAAGTTACTCCTAGGTCGACGCCTCAATCGAAGGCCTTCTCAAAGTCGATGAAGTTGAGGTAGAGAGTTGACTACTATTCTTTACTGTTTTATGATGATGCGTAGCTTTGCCATTTGATGCGCACATTTGTTTTTACTGAAGCCAGCCTGTTCCGGTCGTAATTTTGAATCCAGCGCATCCTTTAGTCTCTCCAGGATGATGCGGCTTAATATTTTGCTTGCTTTGGGTGGGCAAGATCATGATTCCTCGCCAGTTCTTGCAAAGACTTAGGTTTGCCTTCTTTGGGAGTTTGACTAGGTAGCCATTCTCCCAATCAATGGGAAGGTACCTTTCCTTCATTCCTTTCAAACCTTCTGCAACAGTGGTGTGAGCATGTCGGCTGTTGTCTCTGCATCTGTTCTCAGGGCTTCTGGCGGAATTCCATCCGCTGCTTTCCCGGATTTCAGCAACTTTATGGCATTTAGGACTTCTGCTTTTGTCGGAGGGCTTGTGTTCACTGGTAGTTCTGCGGTACAGCTATGGAGAATGAAATCCCCGAAAAAGATATTCTCACCGAATTTCTCAGTTTCCTTAAAATAATTTGTCAGGAGATTTACACACTGAATAATTTCACACTACTATTTTAACAGCTAGCAAACAAAAGAACTTTGACTGATAGAGGTTTTCAATGCCGACTCATTAAAGATTGAATGAAATGCCATCAAATCAGTGAATCAATCCTCTTCTTAGATTACTGGATATATCAGTATTCTTGGTTATTGTAACCACCCACCCTGTGTACAATGTTGTGTACTAACATTCCATCGCCCAAATAAACGCAATTAGTTCTAATGCTGTTTCCCCCAGCCGATTGGGTACAGCTGCATACCAATGAGAAGAAAAAGAACAGTTTTTAAATATCATTAGTTTGTTTTTATGAGTGAAATTGATGTTGTTTTACCAACAAAGGCAAGTAAAAGATGCAGAAAAGAAAGCAATACAATAGTTAACCGCCAAAAAAGGAAACACCTTTCGACATTTAATTATTATAAACATGCTGAACACATGTATCATAATGAGTAGAATTCATATATTACTACCATTAGTCTTATCAATGTAGTTAATCTGTACAAAAGAAAAAATATAGGTGTGTGCATATGTGATTGATAAAAAATAAGTGCAACCTTGTTTCAGACTAAATAAGGGCTACATCGCCACCACATCAAACTGACAATTAATAATCACTTGAATCCATTTCAGTAGTATAGTTTACATTTCAACACAAAATGTCACAAGAAAATGTATCTTTTAATGGTGAACTTATTGAAAAATTGGAGTATAGAGTGAAAACAGAGAATTTCGGTAACTTTCATAGTTTTCCAAAAACGATTTAGTATGAATCAATCAACTTACGTATTAAGAGCAAGGTAGGTTATTAGGCAGAGAATAATACTACTAATTACTTACTTTGAAAAGAAAAGAGAGAAAAGATAATATGGAGAGTGAAAAAATGAAGATTGACAATCCGAAGAAAACTACTGGGGGTTTATAATAATAACAGTAGTAGTACTTCAATTATTTTGGTATAAAATCATTCAAAGAATTTGCCTTTCATCTCTAGTCATGTTTATGAAAAAAGAAAATGACTGAGAAATGTAAGTGAGCTATAAAACAAACATCAACCCACTCCTCTATATGCTGACTGATAAAGGGAACATTTGACTTAGAAAACTTGACAATGAAAGATAAACTAACTAAACTGCTTAAGAAAAGACGACTATTATTATTATTATCAACACATAAAAGGCGCAAATAGAATAAAAGAATCGGGCGCTACACACTTCCTTCATAACCGCATAAATAAAAATCACACACGAACATACAGAGGAAATCCTAGTTTTCGCCATCATGAACAAAAATATCAGTAGACGACCAGAAAAAGCACTACTAACACAATGAACCGAACAAACTTCTGGAAATGAAAGAAGCTTTTTACAGAGGAAGTGAATACGTAGACACACACATTCATGAGGCGATAAAAATAAGACTTATTCCACTGGAACAAAGATGGATGGATAAAAGCACCTCCCATTTACACATACATTATTTAGGTTAGAAATTTTACCTCAGTGTATCATAGGTAGCAGTATGTGATTGTCTACACATCAAAATCATACTATTACATACAAATTTCAACATAATAATAATTTCTGTTTTTTTTGTTTGATTGCAAAAATAATTAGGTATACTGTTGGAAGAATGAAAGAAGTATTTGCCATAAGACTTTTTAAAGAGGTAAGAAAAAAAAAGGCAGCCAAATATTAAGAAAATTAGTTAAGAATTCAAATATGCGTACTAAAGGAACGCAGTATACAGACAGATCAAGGTAGAAGGATATAGAAACTTCAGTAATATTGATTTTAAGGATCAGTTAGTCAATTATTCACAAAAATGGGAAGATACACAGTGAGTGTAAGATAATGAAGGATAGTAAAGTAAGAGAAAATGAAAACAAAGGAACAAGAAAATAGATAGTAATTGTCTTTGTTTTTGTTAACTGTGGTTTATCAATACGACAATAACAACAATATGTAATTATAATTATTACTTGTTTGTTTTATTTTGTAATTGGTTTATGGCATGAAAGCAGAGCGGTAGCGAGTATAGACCAATCTCTTCTGAATATCTAATATATGGTTAGAGCTCCATATCTCTAGCCATATCGTCTGTATAATCTGACATAGAGCTCTCATCATCTGACGAACTAGACTCTGCCTGTCCATTCTCTTCAGCTTTTAAGGCTTCTTCACTTGCAAAACGCTGAACATATTCTGTATAAAATTTAAAAGAGGAAAAGAAAATTAAAAATCATTAAAATTTATGCGTGCAAAGAAGACAATGTCAAAACTAGCACAACTTTAAGTAATAATGAAACATAACATACTGAGTAAAAGAAGTGACAGAAGAAACTTACTGTTGAATAAAAAAAAAGACGAAAATCTGAAAATCCATACTCGTTTAAGTACAATAAAGTCTATTGATAGAATCATTGAAGATTTCGTCTGTAAGGATAGTACAAATTACCAGTAGGTATGATATTATTTTGGAAAGTGCCTAACAAGCTCTCAGTAATGATTATCAATAAACTAACTTAAAATGGATGCAACTACCGGGAAGAATAGAGAGCACATAATCAGACTGACTGACTGAAAAAATCAACGTACAACCTTGCTCAAAAGTACATCCACCCAAGTTGTCACACTTCTCAATAGTACACAAAGAACAGGTGGATAGAAAAGGGTGATATCAAAGAAAAGAAAGTAGTGTGAGAGAATAAACAATCGGAAGATAAAGGTAAGTGTGAATATTCAAGCTTTAGAAAATGTCAAAGAGTGAATACATCTAGCCATTGTGACCGATTTTCAGCCATGTCACCAAGAATCAGTTCTCGACCACTGATTCTTTTCGTCTCAGGGTCCCCAACCAGACGACTACATCGCCCCCATATGGCCCAGACCAACAGTCGCAGACTTCATGAATTAATGCTACGTTTTGGTTTGGCCACTCTGGGCCCTCTTCCAACCTAATCCAGCTTCGCATAGTATGGAACGTCGAGGTAGGCGATGGCTTGGTATGGGCCAAACTATGCCCAGGCTACCTCAGCTGATGAAGTCCCACAACCTTACAGAGCGACTTGTTTGTCCAGTCTAGTATTCCTCGCTTGACTTCAACACTGCTCACCTGGCGGTGATTCCACCAAGTGCGAGAAATGCTGCGTAGATACCTATGACCAAACACTTGTAACCACTCCCTGTGTTCTACTCTTAACGGTTATGTCTTAGCCGTACAAAAAGACAGAACGAACTGCGAGGCAGTATATTCGCCTTTGGATAGGTAGTGGGATATCTCGCCGGCGCCACAGATGTAGGTAGTTGGCAAATGACAAATGGTCCTTCTGTATCCGAGTTAAGATTTCGTTAGCAATCACAGATAATCGGATATATTTTCTTGAATCAAACTCATTCTTCAATACTATACCAACTACTCCTATAGGTTATATTTGAGTAGGATGTCATGAAAGTCACTGATTACTGGTTTCTGCTAAACTACTGGGCAAAAAAATCTCTTTCTACAATGGATTTACCAAACTTGGTTTAAACCATAAGAAAGGTGGTGTAGTGCGACCACGTGATTCACCACACGAAAAGCGAGCCCCGAAGACAACCAGAAAGCAAATCAAATATATGAAAAGTTCTGTGAAGATGTGGCTCAATAATTTAAACAGTGGAACTAAGACTAATGGATGGCCGATTAGAACCCGACTCCAACTACTGAAGTTGGGATAGACCGGTAGTACCATTTCACGTCATACAGTATATGTGGCTCAGTCCTCAGTGAATGACTCTGTATGTTGCTATCTTCACAACAACAACTCTTGGAAGATTATAGCTTACAAACAACAATTGAAGTGAAATAAAAGGTACAATAAAAACTAGGCCGATCGATACTCTTTCATAACAACCGTAATAATCACGGTCAAGTTTTCATAGCGTGGTTACATTTCCAAAGACACCCTATGAAAACTCCATCTCCAAATTTAGATGAGCTTAAATTCCACAGGTCTGCACAAAAGCTTTTAACAATCTACTGAATTTGAAACAATACCCCAACCATTAGTATTATCTTGAACATACTATTGTACGACGGATGTATAGGTAAAACTGCTGGTAAAATTTGCAAAAGTAACTGTTCGTTCCCTTTCATCTACAATACCCATCCACTTTTATTTACAAGAGAGATGTGTGTTAACATTTATCAAGGAAATAATTAGTCACAACTTCTAACAGGTTTGCATAACCGATTCTATGGAGCATATATAAATATAGAAATAATAGCCAATCGATATAACTTCGTAACCATGGCTCCAACGGCTTTTTAAAAATACAAATAATCATTTTCACACAACCTCTTCTAAAGTATATTAGGTTTTATAACGAATTGAATTAAAGGGTAGCAAACTATTGAGTATTCGCTGTTCTACGCTACTGCTGCAAATAATTTCACGGGACTGACATTCCTATTATCATCGGAAAGCCATTCTTTAATGCCATTCAACAAATCAGTAACTTTAAATGTAACGTAGCTATTATAAGTTACTTTACCTCACATCACCATGAAGAAGGAAAACCAAATATACAAAGATAGGAAGAAAATGTAATCAGAAGTCACAAAGATTCACAGTACAGGAAGAGGTAGAAAAATGACTAACGAAATGCGAAATAACCATTGAAACGAAGAGACAATGTGTGCATGCATCTGTGGCACTGAGGTCAACTCCCAGCCACAGCACCTATTATCAATTCACCGGTTGTCACGCCGACGCCGATCGGGAAGTCTATACTCCCCCATACGACTCAAACAAACAGAGACTTTATGGACTAGTGTCACTTTTTAGTAAGGTCACATCTGGTCTTTTTCCAGCCTAAATCTACTTCAGCTGACACTGTAGGATGGGGTAGATGGCGACTTGGTATGCACAAAACAGGTCCCAATTGCCTCGATCGGTGAAGGTTCAAAAACTTATCGATTAACTTACTTCTTTTACCTAAGAGCCAACGATGCAACGCAGTGGTTCCATGATACAAAACCAATAGCACAAGACAGTTGGTTGAAAAAACTCTAGCTCAGATAACAACCCACTCTAAACATCCACACTCTGAGCTACAAATATTCGTCACAATTTCATGCTTCACAGCCATACAGTAAAACAGAGTTCTGTTGTACGGTAAAGTCCCTTCAGTAAGCAACCCAAAATCGTGCTGACGACACAGATGGCGTCAGTGGGCGAAAGTTAGTCAAGCCTTTCCGATCACTGTAAAGATCTCACTCGTCACTTATCCATCACGGCTGATTCAACTTTCTAAATGAAGTGGTTAAGGCGCTCAACTGACGCACTCCCTATTATCAAACGAAGCACTAACACGTACCTCTGTTGATACGAACGCGTCCCAAACATTCTCGAATTGTCACAAAAGATGCCTAGTTCCCCAACATCACCTTGTAGGATTATGTGTAATCTAGGTCTACCTAGGAGTCTCCAGAGACAAGGTCAGTCCCAGTAAAGTCGGACGAGGATAAGGTGAACTTCATAAGCAAATCTGTGACCAAAATTAAATAAGAGGAGGGAGAGTAGGTATCACTGACGGACGCCACTTAAAATAAGCAACTTATCCGATTCCTCACTTAAGGCTCTAACACCTCCACAAAAATCCGAATAAACCTTAATAGTGATGTATTCACTCGCCACCACTTTCAGTGCGACACGCTGCCACAAGACTTCTACATCGACATAGTTGAATGTTAACTTTAGATCAAGAAAAACAGCTAGTGTTGAACGCCAGTGGTTTGTGTCTCAGGTCGACGCACCCACAACTAGATCTGAAACCTGCCTAGTTTTCTCGGTTTTACCCTTTCTAAACTTCACTTAGTCGTCTGATGAATCTTAGATACTTTCGTCAGACTGACCTCTTTTTGGTTTTCACGGAAAGATTTCTCTCTTCTGAAGAATGGAATAATCAGTGATTGAGACCAATTAAGGAGGATCATATGTGATTCTTATACGCCAACTAACACTTTAGCTAATCAAAGCAATAATCCTCGATCACCACCTTTATATACCCCCGTTGCCAGTCCATTGAGGTTAACTACCCATGGGCATTCAGCGTTACTTGCAGCCTTCTCAACTTTTCATCGGTTCAGGATATGACTGGAAACCCAGGCAATCAACGACCAGCTAGTGACCAGTTGAATTGTTCCTCGAAGTACTCCACCCAACATTCCAGCCGTCTCCCTCTGAGGGTAAATTGTAGACGCATACTTCTCTACTATGATCTTACTAGCCATTTACAAGTTTATCCTAATTTTCTTGGTAAATGAAAACAACTGTCTGCTTTTACCTATCGTCAGTGCCTGTTCCATTTCTCTAGACTTTGCTTCTTACCACTCCCCAGTCATTGCGTAGACTCTTTGTCAACCTATATTTGAGCTGGTTCCCCTCCTCATTTTGCTCAGAGTCTTCAGGAACCTATTGACAGGTATTCATTAATTCAGAAGAAGCTGCTAAGTTTTGTTAGCACCTTCTAACCTTTTCCTAAGGATCAAGTGGTCTTTGGTAGCTTTTTCAGCAGACTAGAGGCAGCACTATGCTTCTCCAGGACGAATGGGGTTGTTTTGTTCTGATAACTGTCTGACCAGTTTGTCGTTAAAAGCAGCCTTAGCATTTTCAGTATCAAGCCCAACAGGAATTATTTTCAAGTCGAAGTTTCTCAATGGCCATTTCGGTGAAAATATAGGTGTGCCCTAACCAATATGTCCCAAACGTGTGCTCCAGCTGAAGGAGCAGCAGTCTCCCACCAAACCTCCCAGAGACAGAGAAGCTGTTGCTCAATGGTCTAGGCAATCGACTTTCAATTAGTGAGTCACGGATACCAACCCTCCTTCATCTACCAAGGTTTGGGTAGCCACGCAGCATAGTTAATCCTTAGACAATATGCGCGGCTCATTACCTCCAGAGACAATTTAAAGTGATATGGTCCATTTGATTCCTTAATTGGAATTGAAAGAGGTACATCTGAGTGAAATCCTGGTGGGATATATATACCACAAATTTTGACATACATTTCTACACAATACGCATCACTAACCGTCAAGTGATTGGAGACTACTCATACCGATTAGAGCTTGCTACGTAAAATGATATGATCTAGTTACTGAAAAGCTATTTCACTCATTCGGATATAAACTAGTCAGTCAAGGATCCAAACTGATTTATTGAAAAGCTAAAGTCTACTTTCAAATTACTAATTGCTTACATGAATAGCTAACGCTAAGGCTCAATAAGCAGTACAAATCACATATAACTCAAGTATGAAATTCCATCGCTTTCTTCTCAAAACGAAAAGGTTCATATCACAAAATAAAATGTTTGACACTAGCGTGGCCAAGAGTAACTGAAATCGAAATAACTGTATGCCTTATTGATACGAGGAGCTACGTAGCCACTTACACAAACAGTGATCTATAGTAGGATAAACGAACCTGGATGCATCACACGACTACTTTAGTCAGGTTCGCGTAATCTCGACACTGATAAACCATATCATTCGTTTGAAGCTTGGCTCATCAGTGATGCAACCGGACTGGTTCACCCAGCTTGCGATCCGTGTTAATACTAGATGACAAAACAACGTATATTCCCGTACAGCCGAGCACACCTCACAACCGCATAGAAAAATATTGAAATAGAGGAAAAAGGGATAACAAAACAGAATACTGGAATAAAAAAGGCTTGTGAAAACTTCTGAATTCTTGACGATAAACAGTAAGTGGATCTGCATAACTGTGATTCATTTTCACTTGAAAACCTCAACCATAATCAATGGTTGTTCTCTTTTGGAAGATATCCATATCGTAGAGACTAAGATGAGAAATCATTACGCCAATTAGCTTAATTTATTGATTATACGTGTATTTATCAACGAGTGAGATGAAATGTAATGGCAGCAGTTCTTACTCTTCCAAGTCACACCATAATAAAGGGGCTAATTGATGATGGATGTCATCATGAGGTATTCCTTGTATACATATCCATAGACCTAAGCTAGAAAGACAATAACTATCTCACCACTACAAGATCTCCAAATAATGTTTAATTTCAGCCCTGTAACTGTTAATAGTGTGGATACAGAAAAATTTCCATGAGAATTTTTTAAGATCTGTTTAATCCAGAGATTTAAAATACCTGCTTCGAAATCATAAGTGTTTTACGAAACCTCGATTGTAATTCAAAGTAAGTTGATACCAACAGTCGTTAGACAGAGTGAGACAAGACTGGTCAACCATACCCTTTACAGCATTAGTGCATTGCTGAATATATCTAGGTTTTTAGCAAGAGCTTTTTTCTGCTTGTAAACCTAAGAAGATGAATTTAACTTTATATTCACGAAGATTTGAAAACAAAGTTATTTACTATACAGCAGTTTCCGATACAAATAGTTGGTAAAATTTACTGCTTGTATAAAGGAGCTATAGCTAACTGGTCTATGTACTTGATTTCCAATGGGTGGGTCACAGGTCCAAACCCAGCTCCGCATATCGAGGTTCGAGCAGCAAGGTAGTATCATTAGCTCACACAATAGGTAAGGTTAACTTCCCGTGGCACTAATGCGCACAAGGTTGCTGAGTAGATTTCAATTTCTTGACTGATATGAAGAATCACAGATCCCGTTAAAAAGTATCTTCAAATTACAAGCTTTACAATAAAGATGAAACACAAAGCGTCTCAGATGTTAGCGTTAACTTATGTTTAATAAACAACTAAGCTAGGTGCAGTAGCTCTGAAAATAAGTGATTACTTAAATTAAGCAATAGAAATTAAATTTCAACTGAATTTTCCGAAGGTATACAATACACGCAGACTCATAATACTTGAAATAAGCATATATATATATATATATATATATATATATATATATATATATATATATATATATATATATATATATTATATAAATATATAAACAACGCAGTATGATTATTTACGATCATTGAATTCAATTGCACACAACTGTGGTTTTGAAGAGGTACTAGCTCCAGCTTGCTCAGATTCTAAAAGGTCTTTCGTGTCTACAAGTATTGTCAATAGTAACACCCAACCAAACCCCTACAGTTTAAAACGATGTTACAGAGCTATGATCAAAGTATTGATACAATCTCCCACTGCCACAATCCTCTAGCTATACAAGACTTTTTTATAACAGGTTCTCAGTATAATAAATAACGTGGTCAATTCATGAAGATGTGAAACTACAAGTTTTAAAGCGTAAGTAGCATGAGGAGCTGCGGTTCACTTGCTTACATAGATTACCCTGTGCGCTGGAAAACCAAATATGCCAAAAAAAACCGGAGTAACCAAGCTACATCACTACCCTCTACACTGCATCGCAATGTGCATGAAAGTATGCGTAATTAATTAATAAGACTGCACAACACTCAAGGAGTACGAAATTGTCGACAAAACTCAGAAGCACGTAAGTATTACATTAACACTTGCATATTTACACCCACAACTATTTTTCGCTGCAAGAAAATTAAGTGGTTCCCAAAATATCTTTAGTTTGTGAACTACCATCACCGTATTCTTCACAGCAAATACAAGATGTGGACAGGTACATGCCGTAATAAAATAGTGAGAATCTTATGCCAGCAATACAAAAGGACTACGAGCTGTTAATCAAAGACGAAACATAGTGCTTGTCAACGAAGATCGAATTACTGGTTAAACCTAACGCATGCTCATCCAGATACCATTGCGTACTCATTGACGGATGTGAGCTGTTTATGCGTGAATTCTGGCTTCCTTAGGAAAATAGTAACAACAGTTCGGAAATGAAGTAGGTGTAGCTAGTGTAGCCTGCGGTCAAGTAACAACTGCGATCTGAACATGTTTAAATTTGCTAATCTACTGTTTCCAAATGAAATAAATTATTAGTACCACTCACCTTTCACTTTTATAACATACTCAGAAGGCTTGAACATAAATAAGGAGGCAGCATCACTGTTTAGTGGATCTGTAGGATTAGGATATGCCAAAAGCTGTGGCAGGAAGGACTCGAAAATATTAGTCAGGTCTAAGGAAAGGAAAATTAGGGGATTTGAAATTACCGTAAAGAGCAGACCACTGTTGGTTTATGACATCGAGACAAACGGTACCGGACCTAATCAGATGTAGCTTTACTGAATTAAGACTTACGCTTCATCGATATTTGGGTGAAATATTTTGTTCATGAAGCCTATTAGTTTCAGTAAACGCTTTTACAGCTACTTACCGATTGACGGTGATTTGAAGGGATAGCGTTCAGGAAGATCAACACGAACTTTCCAAATGCCACCTTCATATGGAGCTAAAGAATAAAGTTAAGGAGTGCGAATAACAACTTTCTGGAGGGCCGAAAAACTTCACCATAAGTTCATTCAAACCACCTAATATTGTCACCTCATACTTGCTTTCGATCCTATGAGTGAATAGGATTTCTGTTAGCAATAACCTACAATTTAACAACGTCTGTATCCATCCTTTTCTTTCCTGGACTAGGCGAAGACATTTTTTAAATTCCAAGTAGAATAGAGTTGGGAAAAAGGTCTTAAAGGTTGAATCAGCTGTGTTGCGAAAATGAAACTACGGTGATATGGACATAATTCCTACCTCAGATTGGCCCTTAAACTAATCTTATTTGTTTCACTATGGTTTTCTTGGAGTCTTTCGAACTTAACTACAAGACGCTGTGCAAGACTTTAACCTTAACTACACAATGAAGCTATAACCAAAGAAGTCGTTATGACGTTATCGCAGCTGATTTTCGATGTCTCAAGGTCGCGACTCTGGTTCCCCCTTATTCTTTTATATTAACAAGACTTATACTTCTTTAACTTGAAACAAAGAGATAAGACTAATTTATTTTGCTAAAATGATGTCTTATGTCCCTTTTGTTTGAGTTTCTCTCCCTAAAAAGAAAGCGCGCAACGAAACTAATTACACCCTGATACAGTTTAAAGGCTATTGTGTCAACGTATTTTTGCACAGCTAATTTACCTCTAATACAAAAGGAAAGATGCATAAGTATCCCTTTTCTGAAGGCGGAATTTCATAACTAGTTGAAACTGGTCGGTGAAAAGTGAAAGCCTAACTGGATCTCTTTGCGGAACCGTCAAACTATGACTTTTAGGCTCCCGTTTTCTGGCACCCAAGTTGAATAGTAGTTACTGTTTCATCCACAGTAAGGTTTTTCATGGTTTTCTACCCACGCTTCCTTCTAATACTGAAATGTTTTGTCTCGTCCACATTCTACTTCAAAAAACGCACAACTAAAGCTATCCACCGAAAGCTTTACCCACTAATCCAACGGTTTCGAAAACAGTTATTCGGCTCAGCGCATAACTGTGGCTCGGTCACCATCACTTCTCTCCAAACGGATCGCTATGTTATAGGCCTAGCCATATGGATCAACTCCTAACCCCAACATCAACGGTGGGAGTATTATCCAAGCCCTTGCCTCTAGGTATTGAGACTCGGTTCTTTTTGTTCGGCTGGACCTCTTCGATAGTTGCAGACGTCTATATTCTTTTCCTGCTTATAGTTTTGGAGGTAGTGATTGTCTGTTTGAAGATATTTTCTTCTACAAGTTGCGGATTGCTTTTTTTGGATGGGGAGAAATGGAGCTGATGATAAGGACAAGTAACTTTTTGCAATTCCTGTTTTTGCAAACATCTGCAAGTATTAAGCCTTTCTTGAAAAGTACTTGAAATGAGGCAGGTGGGGGATGGGGGAAAGAGGAGCGAAAAGCACCAATAGAAAATTATGCGTTACCGGTAATGGTATGAAGAAAGGGTGGGTCTTATTACATTTTATGGTTCGAGGATACACAGGTGGATGAGCAAGCCTGCAGTTGCTACCGCAGGTATGCGCTGTATGCGAGAAGTTTGATCTCACCCTCGCCTTTGCCCTACGGAGGGGTATGAGAGTGACGTCCCCACGAGACTGCCATTTTTGGGCCCGTTATGTTGACCCATTTGTGTGGTCCAGTTAGTGAACGATCCTGCAGGCTGTTACTAGGTTACATCGTTTCCCTATATACCTTCGTGTGAATAGGTACAGTAGACGGTGTCGTTGCGCACACGTTTTGCCTGTCAGTCTGACAGCCCACCTTGTCGCTCCCCTCTGTATTTTCTCGAGAGTATTCGATACTCTCGCTAGTAGAGCTGGGCTATCGTGTTTAATACTTCCAGGGGTAGTCTAACACAGGCTTTGACAAACATGAGGAATAGTTCTGGAGTTAGCGCTTCGAACTGCCTTCTTAGAAGGCGCATTATGGCTTTCTCCTTTATTGCCATTCCCTTATGGTTGGGACCGGCATCCAGTGTGCCAAAGAAATTTAGAGCTAGATCGTTCTTTGTGGAAACCCTGGAGATTGCGCACCTGCTGAAGGTATAGCTGACTTTCATCGCTTCCAAAGAGGAAAGATACATCACCGTGCATTGCTCCCGGTCGAAGCCTAAAACATTAGCTGCTAACCAGGACCCCTGCCGCGGTAGATCGTCTCGGAGTATCTTAGGCCCCTCTTCTCTATCCACCGTCCTCCAAATCTTGACGTCGTCAGCAAATAAGAGGATAAATGAGGAGATTTTGGCAGGACGGTCACTGATAGGTAGTGGAAGCGGAACTGGCCCAAGGATGGCTTCTTGATCACCTCTGGTCCTTGCGCTTTTTCTGGCTGATAGAATACCGCTTGCTTTAGCGCAGGACTCTCCATCTTCCGGATGTGCCGTGAGCCATCCTAGGGATGGTTCAGTGATACCTACCTTTTTAGGCCTAGCGGGCATGATGTAGCGTAGGGTCCTATCGAAAGCTTCGGCCAAGTCCAGAAACACAACATGGACTGGTCGCTTGCTGCCCCATCCGGTTGTTTGGTCATCCCAAGAAGTCACTAAGTTTGTGGCACATGACCATCGGGTTCTGAAATCATGTCAAGTAGGATGAACGATGTTGTTTCCGGTTGGGTAGTCCCAAACAACATCCGCAATCAGGTTTTCCATTAACTTGCTCCGTAATTGCATGGGCTATTCGTCCTCCTCCCCTGAAGACTGGTTTAAGGACAGCACGCTTTTCCCCTTTGGAGAACTGGCTTACTTATAAGGAGCGCGTAAACAGATTGTATATGCATATGCTCGGCGCTTTGGAACAATTCTGCAGGACCACTCGTCTTATGTCGTCACGGACTGAACATTTCCCTATTCACAGTGTTGAAAGTTTCGCAAAAACTTGGTTCGGCGAAGCATTTACGTCCATAAACCTTGTGTATCAGTCCTGGAGCTACACAACGCTGACTGATGTTAGCGGTGTATGCATCACTGTTTTGAGCTGCACGTCATATCGGCTGCCCAACAGTCCCACCATCTCAGTGCTATTCACGGGTTCTCTGTTCGGTTCTATGATCATGGCTTCCGTTGGGACACAAACCAATATGGGCCTTTAGGGTCGTAGCTCATCTGTTTGGTCAGGCTACTGTAGTATTTGTACCGGTTATTAACTAGGTTCCGTAATTTCCTGCAGCTAAAAAACTCCTGTCCCTTGCGAGATGTGCCCCACCTATTCCATGTTTCTTTTTTCTTCTGTATCAGCCTTTATGTGGCCCTAGTTACCTAAGAAGGTTCGAGAGGTGATCGTCCAATTACCTTTAAAATGTTCCTTTCGCTACTAGATGAAATGAAGGAGCCCCTTTCCCTTGTTCCGCGAGCATAGGGTGCTGGGTTCATTGGTCACAGTTTTCGGCGTATCCGTTACCCTATTCACTTCCATTCATTTGTCCTCGACACAACCTATTTCCTCAGGTTGTTCACCCCCGTTTGATCATCTGGGCTGTACCAGTGCAAGTGAAGGCTTCGTCCGTACCTCACTCGGAATAGGAACTGGTAGCTTCTTGTGCCTAGGGGCGACATCTTTGCGAACTCACGGAGCTTGCTCAGTTTTAGCGTTTTGGTTTTGAGAGCTCATGTTTTGTTGTGTCTTGGGTTGTACCGGGTTCTCGAGTTCGCTGGCCTGCTTGAACTCCGGGCCGCCTTATTTTATCACAGAATACGTTGCATCGAATTTCTCCTTTCTATGTTGTTTCAATCCTCCACTTATGTCAGCCAATCGTATTGTATGCCCCCATGCGTTTTTAAGATTAGTACAACCTATCGCTTCACAAGTTGGCAGGAAAATTAGGAAGCACCACGGTGGGTGGCAACGGACACCCAGGCTTATGACCACAGATCAAATGACTAGTCTGGAAATGCTTGGCGCAGACTGCAGGTCGTTACCGGATAAAGTTGATCGCTTCCGGTCACTCTTGTCCACAAATGTTTATCGAGACACGGGTGCAATGCTGCTAAAGGTAACATGGCTCCATGAACTGTGCGATGATGACTTAGTCACCCTAAATGGTCGCAAATCATTTTGCCGGGATCAAAGCTTTTCCAAGAACAAACGTGGTGGTGGTGTAGCATCGTTTATCACTGTAAACTGACCCATCTTTCACAGTGTATGCTTCTGCTTCTGTAAAGAAACAATGGGGTGCATTAGCATTAAATGCCGCCCCAAACATTTGAGCAAATACGGACATATATACATAACAGACATTTATGCCACAGTTGACTGCAGTTTCTCGGATTTGTAAACTTTTACTGGTGAATTCACTGGATTTGCTGATCCGGTTCTAGGTAACTCCTTGTCTACCGTCTGCAGAAGCATTAACTCATGTAACTGCAGTTTCCTAGTATCATTGGATCGATAGAGTATTGTTAACTTACCCACTCGTCTTGATAACACCCTAGACAGTATTTACAAGTTGGCCTGGCATATGTGAAGCTCGTAAGCGCATTCCGCTGCTAACTTCTGATCACCGCACTGTGAGTGTTTCGCCCAAAGTATGTGGAAAATTACACAAGAATGCCTTCGGATACCTCTCCAAGAAGGCTCAATACAGATGCTATTCACATGAGAATATGTTAAGTTTGAGAAGCATGCTTATAGAAACGGAGTGGGATATGTTTGCTGAGGAAGTTTTAGGCAACACTATTACCAGTATCAGAGGCTATCTCAGATTCCGTCTCGATATTTGCTTCCCTGATGAAACAGTCTACATGAGATTCAACAGACCTTCCTCTCCTCATCTTAGCGAGCTCCGGAGAGAAAAGAAGAGGTTGTATAAGGCGAGAGATCACCCTGGCGTTAAAAGATATGGCTGCTTAATTAGGTCGGAAGCGCGGCGTCTAAATACTGTTTGCAGCCGGAAGTTTCCATCGTGTAAAGACCCTTCCAGTATACGGAGATTATTTAAGGGGATTACTGGTAGAAAAAAGATGACAGAGGAAGCTCCTTCTGATGTCTGCGCGTAAAACAAGTCACTATACGTCGGCAAGCTGATTTCACCCTTCCCAATGTCCAAAGTCAAATGGACGGCTCCTTTATGGGCTTTAATACACATGATGTATTTAAATATCTAAAATTCTTGAATCTGTCCCAAAGCCTGGGTCCTGGTGGCGTTTCTAGAATTATATTTAGAAA